ATATGTGTGTGTGTGTGTGTGTATATATATATATATATGTGTGTGTGTGTATGTGTGTGGGTGTGTGTGTTAATCATGAATATAGTACTCCCTACCACCTTGTGCATGTTCATATTGTTTTTTTTCCAGATTTGTGTATTCTGCTTCTTTTGTGATTATTTCATGTTTGTTTTTTTTTCCTGTATTATTATAAAATGCTAGTGGATGCCTCAAATTCCCCCCTGGGATTAATCAAGTATCTATCTTTCTGTCTGTCTAGTTGAATATTTGTGTAATGCAAAATTGAAAGTGATCATGTGAACTGCAATAAAAGTAATTTTTGATTAAAAGTTGCTTCGGGACGTCACAAACCCACTCAGGTCTCAGCTGTTAGCTCGTCAAGCCCGTCAGAAACAAACTATTTCTCAGTTTGTTCAAAGAGCATCTACAACAGGTAAGATAACTGTTTACACCCTTTCCACATAACCCTAAATGATCTTTTAACAGCAGCGTTCCACTCCTGAGCAGCTGCTGTGGGTCACAGAGGATTCAATTACAAGTTTGGGGAAACAGCCTCAGGAAATGTGGACTTCTACCAAAGTGCTCACTGTTGTTCAAAGGCTGCTTTAAAATCTTTGAAAATATTCCTAAAAATGTTACTTGGGTGTTTACTTGTATGTCTGTTAGCAAAAAATCTCATGAACCACTGGATGGATTTTAATACACCTCTGACCCCGACTCATACTCAGCATGAGTGATCTTTATTGAAAACTCACATTCCTTCAAGGAACACTACCTGTATTTACATCACACTTTACACAAGTAAAAACCACAAAGTACCTCACAAAATAAAATATCCAACCAGTTACACTTTATTATAGTGCACCATGGCTGTCCTTGTAAATCCTGTATAAGTTGAGCAAATTTTGTTGAATTTGTCTGAATAAAAGCTTCATCAGTTTGTATTGAAACTAAAGCAACAACTGTCCATCAGTTTAAACAGTTTCACAATAAAACGTATACTCTTCAAAATATTGTTCTGTACATTAAAACAAAATTAAACAAGCGTAACACACAAAACAATTTATGCTTGTCGACCAACGTATACAGCAATACATCGATCTATAACAATGGAAGGACATGGCACAACCTTTGACCTTGATTTGTAACCTTGACCTTGAAGCAGTGTTGATGAAAAGCACATGATGATCATTCTAATGATGATGCATGCGTGTGTGAAGTTTTGTTAAATTATTGTGTGATGTGTCTGAATGGCAGAGTGACCTTGTGTGGTTTAACACTCCTGAGTCTAAATGACCCACAAGGAGTTTGACTGGTACATGAATACTTTGTGTAAAAATATTTTCTGTTAAAATATTGAATTAAAGACCTATTATAACGACATTTTTAAGAACAAAAAGACTAAACTTGTAAAGTTTTGTTTTTATGTAAACTCTTGTTACTTGTAAGCTTTTTGTTTTAATTCTAGTACTTAATACAATCAAAGGGACTTGCTTTTTAAAACTTATTTATAATATCTTTTTCCTTCTTTCGGCTGCTCCTCTTCAGGGGTCACCACAGCGAACTGTCACTCCACTTAGCCATTGATTTTACACCAGATGTCCTTCCTGCAGCCACAGACCACTGAGCTACCACAGCCTGTGTGGAGCAGAGCTGCTGTCTGCGGCGCCCAGGGGAGCAGATGGTGCGGGTTCAGGGCCTTGCTCAAGGGCCCAGAGCAGGGCAAATGAGGGTGGAGGCAGGTGGGTGTGTTTCATCTTTTCCACCCACGTTTTGATGTCTGCCCAAGGAGTTGGACTGGCGACCTTCCTGTCACAGGCCCACCTTCTCCAACCTCTGCGCCACCACTCCCCCATAAAATATTCTATTTTAATGGCTAATAATAAACAAGGTGTCTGTGATATACATTAAATGAAAAGCAGCACTTTGTCTTTTCCCCTCAGCCACTCGCATCAGATGTGTTCATCAAATCTTGTATTTTCTGGATTACAGAGAAAGATCAGTGTGGCTGAAGTTGGATTATTGTTGGCGAACAGGTTTCAATCCTCCAGTTCTTCTGTCAGAATATTCAGACGTGTCTGAAACTGGACAGGTCTGAGCAGACGCTGCATGAACATCAAACCTGTTTACAGCATCGTTACAAATGCACGTATAACTTAACCGGTCCTTCAAATCTATTTTTCTCTGACAAGAAAATTATTATAAGCCAAAGAAAATACATCCCAGGTAAAATCTACTATAAAAAGTACAGCAGCACTTTGTTGTACTTCATTTATTTACACAAACTTCACAGAGTTAAAACCGTCTGTGGTATGTACAAAGTCAAACAGTCAAATAAATACTTACAGGATATTTACAAGTGCATACATGAAATCAATATGTCTGTATGTGTCTGTTAGTAAAATATCTCGTGAACCTCTGGACAGATTATAATGAAACTTTTAGAAAGTAATCACTGGATGTTTGTCTACAACTGATGAACTTTGGGAGCAAGTACGATTCAAAATGGCCGCAACAGCTGATCAACAATAATAAACACAAGACTGGCTCTAATTCAGTTGGCGTTACAGATATTGAGATAAAGTTTGGTGTGACTGTAGCTGGGACTGATCCTCATGATGTACACAAGCACCAACACACTCACACCTCCACCACTGGAAACACTGGCAGAAGACACGCATCACCTCCAGGAATGTTTATTTCACTCAACCTGCTTGTTCTTTGTGCACAATTTGAAGATCAGTGTTTGGAGCTGAAAGATTGATTTTAAAAGTTAAACACACACAGACTTGGTGTGTGAAACACACACTTTTTATTTCTTGGTGATTATCAATAAGAATCAAAGAGAAAAACTTGTTTTTCTGCTATAAATTTAAACAGAAGTTTTCCACTTCTTAGAGCCACAACTTTAATAGTTCTGACGAGTGTGAAAACCATCACAGTTCTGTTTGCTTAATCAACGTTCTCAGAAATGAGAATTTCTCCACGTTCCATGAACTGCAGTAGATTTTACAGGTGGAGGAGCGCTGCCTGCTGGAACGAGCGCATCAAGCAGAAAACCCGTTCTCGCTCACATTCCTTAATGATGAGCTGAACCCACAAAGTAAAGGGAGCGTTTACTGTCGCCGATTGGGTTGGTTAACAGGTGCGCCTTTCATTTTTCAGCCTTCGCAACAAACATCCATGACCAAAGTGCAGAACTGAAATAATTCACTACAGCTTAATGTGGTCTCCAGCTCATGAAGAAAATCAAGTTCTCTGAGGGTTTAGGTTTTAAAAAAGAAAAACATATTTTCTGCAAATCTCATGAAATCCGTCCTGTCTGGTAAGACGTGTTTGTTGACTTCAACATCCTGTCATGTGACTCTCTGAAAAACAAGCAGCAGCAGGAGCAGATTTGATGAGAAAGAAGTAAACTAGAAGAGTCACGTCTAGTTGGAATGCTCTTGAATTTCAAAAACAGGAGGCGCAACAAACGAGAGAAAGTTGAGGATGCGTGTGGGCAAACCCAGCTTGGAAACGACTCCTCGTGCTCTGGTACCGAGCGCTCTCCTCACAGCCACTCTGCTGAGCTGCTGCAGACTGAGAGGGGTGTCTAAAGAAGGAAAAGACCACCACGTTACATAGTTACAGCTGCTCCAACACATAGGGACAGGAAGCACACTTACTTTCAAAGAACTCCAGGCAGCGGTACGAGGCAGAGCCCACACCGGTGTAGTGGATGGGCTTTTTGTTCAGGTTATCTCTAGCAAACACGTTCCCGCCGAACTCCACAAGAAGCTCCATCAGATCAGTGTTCTTCGTTTTAGCTGCATGATGAAGAGCCACCTCATGGAGCTTGGAAGCGTTCACGTTCGCCCCTAAAAAAATAAAAAGAAGCAAATTTATTATTATTTTTTTTAAATCACATCTATTTAGCACATTTATGTTTGAACCGTTCTGCTCCTGTTTAGCGTCTGCAAAAAACGTGCAGTCCTTTGGTGACCCAGAGTCTGAGAGGATTTCCTGTCAATGAGAAAATTGGGGTCTTTTTTTTTTTTTAATACGATTTTTATGTTTTAATCACAAAAAGTTGTTCTTAATTTTTTTTTTTTTTTTTTTTTTACTCAATACAAAAATCACTGCGTTAAAGAAAAACTGACTCCACATTGGCAAATGTCTCAAAAGCTTTAGTTCACCTAAGGATTGTATTTTGTTAACAGGAGCAGAACGGATTTAAAGCACTCACAAAGGGCGACGTGCACCTCAAACTGTGCTGCCAATGACCCAGTGTTCCTCTGCACTGTTCAGACGTTAACAAACAAAACCCAAAGTAATTAACTCTGTAAATAATATGTTTCTTCAGTGTTCGTTGAAGGTGAGGACAGCCTCAACTCTTGCACAGGAGAACAAGCGCTCAGTGAGTCAAACGTAGAAACCCTGAATCCGTTTCTTCATTTATTAAGTGAAAATAAGATGATGCAATCCTGTTGTCCTTAGGTCAAAATAGCACATGGCTTCATATTAAAACTGGTCATTTTGACCCAAGGGCAACGGGAAAGCTAGCACAAAATGTCACAATTATTTAGAAATGTCTGATTCCTGAATAAAAACAGATTTTTTTTTTTTAAAGGATAATATTTGTTAAGATGTGCAGCTCTCTGTGGCAGAAGGTCAAAATCAGACTAATGCAATGAAAACCACTGAGTTTTGACACAAAAAACATTGCAAACTACTCACACCAGCAGAACTTGATGGACAAGTTTGTGTCAACATATAAAGAGCGCTTGTTGTTTTGAGAATGTAGAGCTAATACAGAAGAGACAGCAGGTCCACATGACAGGTTTGGAGCTAAAACCAGACATTGAAGTTTTTGTGAATCTGAGCCTCAAGTGAGTAAATCCTCTACCAAGGCAAATGTCATATTTTGTGACCTTGACAAAACATTCATGCAAACCAAATTGTGATACTTGTTTCCAGGGGCGGACTGGGACAATAATCCAGGCCGGGAATTTTGATACCATCCCAGGCCACCACCACCTGATTAACGCAAACCACCAAGACTGAGTTCAATTGAGCGCACTTTGAATGCATGTTGTTTGCACACGTCTAACTGAATACCTACATAAATCTTTCTTCTGTGGTGCAATAATCCGTCCTCAAATCACATAAACTGAAATTATGTTGCCCTATATTTTGCTATGCATAAGCCCTTTTAAAATCACTAGGAATATGACAGTCAATCATAGTTTCATACAACAAATGAGAGATCGTGTTGTACTACAGATGTGTTGTTTATTCTCCATCAAATCAAACACATTTTTACTCACTTTTGTAAAAAAAAAAGATAAATGCAAGGCATACTGAACAGAATAGGGAGTGATTAGCTTCATTGTATGTCAGCCACTTTCTGTTTGTGCCATCGTTTGAGTGGAAGACATTGGGAATTTTTCTTTTACTTGTCTGATTTGGATGGTAATGGAAAAATAAATCCAAATCCTTGAAATGAGGGCGGGCAAAATAATCAAATGGCTTCTCATGACTTTTGCTGTCCTTTTCATTCTCCATCTCTCTCTGTTTCTCTCTCAGTACATCTGGTTGCTCTGCAAAATGAAATTAACATTTTTAATATTCTATACTTGTTAAGGTAATTGTATACCGCTTGTCATAAGTGAAGCACAATTTATTCTAAAAGCATAGTCTGCAGGTATGATTGTGCTCTTAAATTGTACCCGAAGGTTCCTGCTCTGACTCCTTACTGCTGCTGTCCATCACCTCCATGACAGGAGCTCCTGCAGCACTAGTGCTGCTCACCGTTATGACATTGCTGTCTTCTCCACCTTTGTAAGGAAAAATCCAAAAGCCATCCATAATTTCCCATCTATTCATTTTCACTTATTGACTATTTATATGGGGCAGCACAGTGGCGCAACTGGTAGAGCTGCTGCCTCTCAGCGAGCAGGTCCCTGGTTCAAACCCCGGTCCAGGGGCCTTTCTGGGTGGAGTTTGCATGTTCTCTCCGTGCATGCGTGGGTTTTCTCCGGGTGCTCCGGTTTCCTCCCACAGACCAAAAACATGCATGTTAGGCTGATTGGTAACTCTAAATTTTCCCTAGGTGTGAGTGAGAGAGTGAATGGTTGTTTGTGTCGTTTGTCTCTATGTGGCCCTGTGATGGACTTGCGACCCGTCCAGGGTGTACCCCGCCCCTCGCACAGTGACTGCTGGACATGGGCACCAGCGACCCCCGTGACCCAAAATGGAATAAACGGGTAAAGATAATGGATGGATGGATGGATGGATGGATGGACTATTTATATGTATTGGCTATTCATATAACAAAAAAAAAGTTCTTAATCTCAACGGAACTTTACCTGGTAAAATAAAGTTTAAATAAAATATTGTAATACAAGGATTTTAATATTCAGATAATTTATTGGAGTAATGAAGGGTATACACAAAATATCCTCAATAATCCAGGTAGAAAATCTAAAAAAGTTAAGTCAGGTCCTCTGGACAGATTAAAAAAAAAACAACTTGTTGAAACGTTTAGTCTTTAATCCAAAAGACTGTCAGTTTGAGAAGCTGCAACAAACTTAGTTTCAAATAGTCTCTTTTCATAGTGGATCAACCAGTTTGTTGCTGACATCCAGAACTAGCTGTTAACATGATAAAGGAGGACCATCATCAGCCTAACAATGGATCGTTAGTGCTCTAGGCTGTTTGCTATTCACAGGGGGCTGAGAGATACCAGCAATAACAGCATTGTAAGAGGGCTACAGTTGGACACAGAGGCCTCTGTCCCTGTTTAATGATGGATGAGTTCTCATCACAAAGATGGCTTCCTTTACTCCTCTCTCAAACCAACACTTCTCTCTATCAAGGATGAGCACATCTTCATCCCTGAAAGTGACTGCTGGCCTGCAGATGAGTGTAAACCACAGAGTTCTCCTGGCCTGATGATGTTGCTCTTTGGCCCAGCACAGAAGAGCAACATCTTCAGGCCAAGACTCGGCAGTTTACACTCATCTGCAGGCCAGCAGTCACTTTCAGGGATGAAGATGTGCACATCCTTGATAGAG